AAAAATCTTCATGTGACTAGAAATGAGGAAATAAACTAAGTGAGTCATGAGTCAAAGAGGAAACGATCATAGAAATTAGAAATTATTTCTGAATGGAACGTAAGGAGAACACCGTGTATCGAAACTTGTCGGGGGAGGGTGGGGGTGTAGCTCAGGGGCAGCGCATGTGCTTAGCATGCACGAGGTCCAGGGCTCAATCCCCAGTGTCTCCGTTAACAAAACAACTTGTGTCATGCAGCCAGTACCACAGCCTGAATGAAATTTACACACTGAAGTGCATTTATTAAAGAAGAAAAAGGCTGAAAGTCAGTTAGCTTATAAATGTCAAAAACATTAGAAAAAGAACAGCAACTTAAACCCAAAGAAAGTACACGGGAGGAAATAATAAAGGTAATAATAGAATTTAATGAAATAGAGGACACAAAATAAAGAGGCTCAATAATGCCAAAAGTCTGTTCTTTGAAAAGTCCAATAACATTGAGAAACATCAGCAAAAATGATCAACGGGGGAGAAAAGTGAGCGAGGGTACAAGTAATCAGTAACAGGAATGAAAACGGGAACCCTGCTAGAGATGTAACAGACCTTAAAAAGAGCTTACGAGAATGTAACCGGTATTATGCCAATAAACTTGAAAAGCTCGCTGAAGTAAACAATTTCCTAGAAAAACACATTACTACAGCCGACACCAGAGAAAAACAGAAAATCTGAATATAAAATTCATAATTAATCCATAATTAAAAGCCTTCCAGTTAAAGAAAACTCTGAGCCTAAGTGGCTTCACTGGGGTAAACATTTCAGGAAGAAATAATACCCATCTTATATTCTCCCAGAGAAATGAGAAAGAGATGATTTGTTTTAAGAGGTCAGCATCAACTTGATTCCAAAACCTAATAAAGGCAGTGCAAGCATAACTTGTATACTGTGTTTTGCTTCATTGAGCTTGGATACTGTTTTGTTTTTGTTTTTGTTTAAATTGAAGGTTTGTGGCAACCCTGTGCTGTCGGATGATGGCTAGTATTTTTTAGCAATGAATATTTCTTAAGTAAGGTATGTACTTTTTTTAAAAGACATAATGCTATCACACACTTAATAGACGACAGCATAGTGTACACATAACTTTTATATGCACTGGGAAACCAGAACATTCACGTGAGTTGCTTTATTGTGATATTCGCTCTATTGTAGTGGTCCAGAACCAAACCACAAAATCTCCAAGGTGTGCCTGTACAAGAAGAGAAAATTATCTCTGAATGCAGACAAGGAAATGCTAAAGAAAACACAGTGTTAGCAACTGTGCAGCAGTCGAGGAGAAAGATTAATTATCAGAGCCTGGTTGAATTTATTCCAGGAATGCAAGGTTAGTTTAACAGGTTACTGCAGTCATTATTAACAGGACACAAGAAAACCCATCACAAAGAGTGCTGAAAAGCTTTACTGCTGTAAAAAGAGGTAATGATTTTAACAAGTTGATCTGGTCCGATTCTTTTGTTTATAGATGAAGAAATTTTCCACCCACTGGCCATAAAGCAGCCCCACAGTGAACTCTTCCACTATCAATTGCCTTTACCTGTCCCACTCTCTGGAGGTCATTGAGTTTTTTTTAAAGTTAGGTGATGTATTGCTAACCAGAAAGACTTTGACACTCCTTTGTCTTTCTCTTCCCCTCCCCAGACTCACCTTCCTGCCCTCTAATTCCCAGTGCTGACTCCCAGTGTTGACCCAGCAGTGGGAGCCATGGCGAGGAAAGACATACCTCTGACACGTAGGACATCCACTCCTGCTCGTTGTCGGGCCTCTTGGAATAAGAGTTGTAGAAGATGACATCCTTCACCAGCACAGCCAGGGCTCTCAGGATGAAAGAAGCAAACAAGTTCATGTGGATGTAGTTGCGGGTGCAGTGGAGTTTTCTGCACAAGGAGGAAAACCAAGTGCCTTCGTTCAGAAGAGAAGGGCTCAGATCAATAGCTGTGTGCCTGCAACCTGTGTATCATTGCTGAAGGGCACAGGTTCATGGTGCAGGCTCCTGGGCTGGATGGCTGGGTTATATGATCTTACCTCTTGGTGCCTCATTTTCCTCATCTGTAAGCTGGAGATAATCACTGCTAACATCTATAGCTTGCTCAGCGTTCCGGGCTCTGTTCCAAGCTATCTGCATGTGGATGTACTGATGGGTATCCTCACTCCTTACAAGCACGGGAGGAGCAGGTCTCCTGCCTGGTAGTGATCTTGGCTCCATCACTCACCAGCTGTGTGATCATGGGTACGTGACTTCAACTCTCTATATTTCAGTTAACTCACTTTTAAAATGGGGGTAATAGTAATGCTAATCTTCTAGGATTAAAATTCATCTTAATTCCAATTAGGAAGAGATTTAAATGACGTAACGCATGTAACATGCTTAGAACAGTGCCTGGCGCCAAGGAAGCACTCAAATGATTGATAGCTAATTGGAGTCCTAGGGCCCTGGATTAAAATCCCAGCTCTACCACTCACTCATTTGCTTTGGGGAAGTTTTGTAATCTCTTCTGCATAAATAATTCATCTGGTAGAACTGTGGGGAGAATGGGCTGTGGTAGTAATGGGTATGATTAGGGGTTTAGAGCAGGGTTAGGCACCTAGTAGGCCACCTAGTCCAAAAGAAACAAAAGCAGAGTTAGGATTCCCAGATCCCAGCTCTAGCTGTACTCTGTGACCTGGGGTGACTCAATGCCTCCCTCTGGACCTCTGAGATCACTTTCTCCTTCACCTGCAAAATGAGACGGATGGACTAGAGACGCTCTTAGATCCCTTTAGCTCTGATAAGCCATGAAATCATCCAGCCTTCTCCTGCCTTCGAAAGGTAGCTAATGAACAAATCCGGGCTACATGTCTCAACACGTGCAAGCAGAAGTTCTACTCACCGAAGAAACAAGAGAAGGGTGAGAGCCAAGAAGAGGGAGACAATGGAGAGGGAGTACCCCACCGTGTACAACAGCTGCAGGCTCGACAGCAGGGCGTGATGTTCCACCTGAACGCAGAGGAAGAGCAGACATGACCAACGAGCCAGGCAGCTATGGTGTCCAGCCCCGAGTTCCATGCCCAGGACCAGCAAGGTCAAGGTATGAACCCTGGGAGACTTGCTGACATCTCGGCTCTCTGGTACATCTCAGAGGCTAGGGAACCTTCATGAGTGAACAGCCCACCCCAGGTCTCCCCTCCATGGCTGGCCCCACAGCCCAGCACTGATGCACCAAGAGTCACAGTATCATAGGAGAACTGTGCCCGGGACAACAGGGTGCCTTGGAAATGAGGACAGGTTCTTTGTTCCGGGGTGTGTTGCCCCTAGAATGCAGCGGTACCTCGCTCTGGAAGATGGGGCCAGGTTTCCATCTGGATGTACCTTTTCATAGATGATCTCTTAAACAAAGACCCAACAAAACACTGGAATATTTTCTCTGAGTTCCAGGATAGCCTGATTGTAAACAGAGGGTAGTTTACTGGAAATTCTGTTATTAAGTATGGTTTTCCAATGGAATCTCATCTTCTCACCCAATCCATTGCGCACATCACCATCAAGATTATGTTTCTAAATAAATTTTTGCACACGATCCCACACTAAATATTTAATTCCTAATAAATTATGCCTAAATTTCTCTGCCTAACTCCTTCATCAGCTTTATTGACATATACAATAAACTGCATATATTTCAAGTATAAAGCTGGGTGAATTGGGGCATGAATATATCTGTGATTTCATCACATTCAAGATAAGGAACATTTCCATCACCTCCCAAAAGTTTCCTTGTGACCCTTAGTAATGCATCTCCTCTCACTACCCCCTGCTACTCGAGGCTAGTTTGTACTTTCTAGAATGTTCTATAAATGGAATCTTATGAGTACTCTATTTTTGTCAAGTTTATTTCCCTCAGAATAATTATTTTGAGATTCATCCATGTCATTGTACTTATCACTAGTTCATTCTTTGGCTATTACCAAAAAGGCAGGAAGTAACAAGTGTTGGTGACAAGGTGGAGAGAAAAAGAACTCCTCCTACACTGCTGGTGGGCACGTACACTGGTGCAGCCACTATGGAGAACAGTGTGGATGGTCCTCAAAAAATTAAGAACAGAACTACCCTACGATAGAGCTTTCCCACTTTTGGATATTTACCCAAAGAATACAAAAACACTAATTCAAAAAAATATATGCACCCTTACGTTCACTGAAGTGTTAACTACAACAGCCATGATACAGAAACAACCCAAGTGCCCATCAACAGATGACTGGATAAAGAAGATGTGATCTACTACTCAACTATTAAAAAAAAGAAAGATGAAATTTTGTCATTTGTAACAATGTGGATGAACCTGGAGGGTATTACGATAAGTGAAATAAGTCAGACGGAGAAGACAAATGCTGTATGATTTCACTCATATGTCGAATATAAAAGAATCAACAAACAAAAAAGCAAAATAAATGATCAAACCAAATAAACCCCATGCATATGTGAAGAACAGAGCAGTGGCTGCCAGAGGGGGAGGGGTGGGAGCGGTGTGAAATGGGTAAAGGGGATTAACTGTAGGGTGATGGATGGAAACTAAATTTTTGGTGGTGAGCTGTAGGGTGTATAGAGGTAGAAATAGAATGTTGTACACGTGAAATATATAATGTTATAACCCAAGACGGCCTCAATAAAAAATAAACCTAAGATTTTAAAAAATTTTAATAGTTTATTCCCTTTTTTATTGCTGAGTAGTATTCCATTGTGAAAATACCACACTCTACTTATGCACTCACCCATTGACGGACATTTGGATTGTTTTCAGAGTCTGGCTTTCACACACACAAAACGTTGCTCTGAAAATTTCTGTACAAATTTTTCTGTGGACATAGGTTTTCATTTCTTGCAGATAAGTATCTAGAAATAGAATGATGGGGGGTAGTAGGGTGTATGTTTTAACTTCTTAAGAAACTCCAAACTGTTTCCTAAATCAATTGTAACCATTTACATCCCCACCAGGGATATATGAGCACGCAGCTGCTCCAGATTCTGCTCACCCTTCATCCTATCGGTCTTTTCCGTTTTAGTCATTCTAATGGGTGTGTCGTGGTGTCTCATCATGGTTTTAATTTGCACTTCTCTAATGATTAATGGTGTTGAGAATCACTTCATGTGCTGATTTGCCATCTGTGTGTTTTACTTGGTAAAGGATCTGTTCAAATATTTGGCCATCTTTTAAATTGGATTGTTTGTCTTAATTTAGAATCGCAAATCTTCTTTATAGAGTCTAGATATAAATCTGTCAGATACATGTTTTGCAAGCATTTTCTCCCGTTCTGTGGCTTGCCTTTTTATTTTTTTTAAAGTGTCTTTAAAAGAGCACAAGTTTTTTTATTTTGATAAACTCCTGTTATCAACCTTTTCTTTCACACTCGTCCTCCTTATCTGCAGTTTTACTCTCTGTGGTCTCAGCTACCTGCTGTCAACCTCGCTCTGAAAATATTAAATGGAAAATTTCAGAAATAAACTATTCATAAATTTTAAACTCTGTGCCACTCTGAGTAGCGTGATGAAATCTCACACCGTCCCACTCCGTCCTCCCCGGGACGTGAATCATCCCTTCGTCCGGCGTATCCTGCCCGTTAGTCACTTAGTAGCCCTCTCGGTGATTACACAATCTCGGTGGCACAGTGCTTGTGTTCAAGTGACTCTTATTTTAATAATGGCCCCAAAGAGTAGTGATGCTGGCAATCCGGATACACCAAAGAGATGCCACAAAGTGCTTCCTTTAAATGAAAAGATGAAAGTTCTCAACTTAATAAGGAAAGAAAATAAAATCATATGCTGCAATTGCTCAGATCTACAGTAGGGACCAATCTTCTAGCTGTGAAATTGTAAAGAAAGCTGTGCTAGTCTGGCTGTCACACCTCAAACTGCAGAAGTTATGACCGCAGTGCGCGATAAGCACGTGGTTAGGATGGAAAAGGCATTAAGTGCGTACAGTAAGATACCCTGAAAAAGAGAGGCACCCGCACGCCCACACACTCACACATAATCTCCTTACAAACTGTCAGTTAACGTGCATGAGGACCCCCAGGTGTGTCATCAGTTGGAAGAACATAAACATGTCTAGTTTGCTAAAACTCCGAAGAGCAAAGATTTATTAACACTAGCCTTTTGGGGGCAAAATTTCAACCCTCTACTAGAAATACAGGTAAACATGGCCAGAAAAAAATTTTTTTTAAGTATTTGATTTCTTGGAAATATGGCCATTTGCAGAGAGGCCAATGTCCTGGTTCTCAGTGTTCTAAACAGAGAAATCCCTTCCTAGCTTGGAAAGAACGGTTTCCAAGTCCTGTTTTGTTGTCCCTGTCCACTGACCTCAGCCCAGAGCAAGCAGCAAGCAGCAAGCACCTGCCAAGGAATTCGTTGTTACCACCTCCACTTCTGGCCTCAGCTACAGCTGAGTCACCTGGGAAACTCTCACACCAGTATTGACCCCATCACACTTCCACTGACTCAGAATTTGTGAAACATTCATTCAGTGTGTACTAAATGCCCACTGTATGCCAAGGCTTTAGGGCACCCGAGCACCAGGCCGGGTGGGGGGGGTTACGTATTCAGATATAACTATGACTTTGTCATTGTTCTCAAGCAGCTTAGTCTGGGACAGAAGGTAAGAAATATATGCAATTGGCCCAATTCACGGCATGCAGTTAGCACGAGCTTGGGGTTGTGACAAAAGTCAGACCAATCCCTGAGATAAGCTGAAGCCCATCCGAACACAAGCACAGTCTTAATACCTTTAAGAGGTGTGACCTGTCGCGTGGTGGAGGGCACATGGAGTTCTGTCAACTCAAATCAAGTAATAATATTAAAAAGAGGTCTAGAAAGAATTCCCTGCAGAGGCAGAGGCTCTGATGGAAGGCTCTCCGTGCCTAGCAGGAAGACACGATAGACCTAAGAGAGTGGAGGACCGGTCGACCCCGACTCGGCTCGGGAGGAAGTGAGTCACAACCAAGATGGTCAAACATACAGCAGAGTTGAAGGAATTTTCTGGAGAACAGCTGCACACCCACCACCTCGATTCTAACATCAACGCTTTCCTCGGCGTCATCACATAACTATCCTTCTATTCATCCCTTAGAGAGAGGTTTTCGAAATTATTTGCACAGTCTGTATGGAACTGGTATTACTCTTTAGAGAATGTAGCCTGTAAAAGGATGAGGATAAGGGTTAGTATGAGATCTATCAATAAGCACGTGCTTTTAAGTTTAAATTGGAAACTTAAGGAAAACAGCATTGACTTCAGAAAATTTAAGACCCACCTGATAAGCCTGATGCAGTCAATGAAATAGAATTATGTCATAATTAAAGATTTGTTTGTCATAACAAGTATGTAAGATATGTACAATATTTAAAGCATCTAATATCTTAAATATATTAATGCAGCATAAAATGTAAAAGGGCATTGGAATAACTAGTTTGGCACTAAAAATTAATCAAGGACCTCCATCACCAGGACCCAGCCTAGTAACTGGGCAGTAAATCACTGCGTGTTAGAGCGACAAACGAATCCCATATCCATGTCTTATTCACTGTTTGTCCCAGTACCTAGTGTAAAAAATCTAGCACATAGTAGGTGCTTCACATCCTCACTGTCTGAACGAAAGAAATCAAGATGAGTCCCTAGATATCTGCCTGCTTCGCAAGCGCCGCTGCCTCTGTTCACGCTGCCTCCTGCACTTGGCTTGGGAGGGGGTGAGCGGGATGAGTACAAACAGGAGGGCTTTGGGGAGAAGACCGGTACCTAAGGGACTGCAGCCTAGGATGCTGGAAAGAAGACGCGTGAGAGCCGTCTGACGTGCAGATTTGTTTGCCCCCCTCCCCGCCAGACATCTGCCGAGCTACGATGATTTACTGCCCAGTTACTGGCTGGATTCTGGTGGCGGAGCCAGCACCCCTATGTATGGCGCGCTGCCGAGAGGTCTCCGCGGAGAACTGCCAAGTCTATCAACTCTTTGAACCCTCGCAGCGGTCACGTGCAATAAATACGCTCCCCACGGGATGGATGGGGAAGCGGAGGCACAGAGCCGTGTATGAAGGGCTAGGAAACAAATACGCTGGACGTGAAGTCGGGCTGCGTGGGCCCCTGGCCTTGAGCTCTAACCCCGACGCTTGGTGTGTGTTCCCTCAGGACACACAGTCTCCTGCCACAACCCAATCTACATTCTAATAAAGGGGTGGTGCCTACATTCTAATAAGGGGCAGTGCCTACATTCTAATAAGGGGCAGTGCCTACATTCTAATGAGGGGGCAGTGTCTACATTGTAATAAGGGGGTGGTGTCTATATTCCAATAAGGGGCAGTTCTACATTCTAACTAGGGGCAGAGCCTACATTCTAATGAGGGGGTGGACACAGGAGAAAGTAGGACAGTGACAGATGCTGTAATGACTGGAGGACTGGGCAGAAAGTGACCGAGGAGGCCACTCTCAATGAGGTGGCCTTGGAAGACTTGGATTGAAAGGATACCTTGGCCTGAAACCTGAAGGATGGGAAGGCCCAACCACAGAGGAGCTGTGGTGTCCCAGGTGGAAGGACCAGCAAGCACAGAGGCTGGGACCAACGCTGGAGGCTACCTTCCCTGAGAGGCTCACGTTTCATCCAAGCAGCAGAAGAGATTCGATGGCTGCCACGAGGGGTGCTGTTTCATGTAACTGAGGACCTTCTCAGGTGAGTCTGGGGCCAACATGCTGGGTGCAGGCCCCTAGTGTGGCCCCCAGTGCCAGCCGTGCACGTGGGGGTCCCCGGCGGAGGGTGTTTGGGCCCCGGGGCACGTCCTTACCGAGCCCAGGGGACTCACGTTTTGTTTGAAGCTGTGATTCTCAGAGCATTCGGAGTCGTCCTGCCAAATATCTGTGGAGTTCTCCTGCGTCTGCCAAGTGCCCCGAGACAGGCAGTATCTGTAGGCCCTTCCTGAGTTCTCTGAAAGTAAACACAGCTCTAGGGGAAAGGTCAGAACACGCAGCCCGTCCCCTGAGCACGTGGGAAGGCCTTCGTCCGCACCGCAAAGCTGTGGGAAACCCCAGGGGAAAGGAATATTCATTTCCCCTTCTGGGGGTTCATTAGCAGCCTTGCTGTTTATTTGGGATGGAAAGGAAAACACGGAAGCCTCAGCATTTCGTAACAAACCATGAGCCGTTAATGTCCGTTGTGTTTACCCAAAGTCCCCGGAGCTAGAACAGTCCCCGGGGACTCAGAGACGGGACAGCCCTCCAAGGTGCAGCCCAGCTGGGAGAGGCAGACCTGGGGCTTCCCAGCGCCGGCACAGTGGGGCATCTCTTCCTGACACCCAAGAGGCCATGCCAGGAAGAAGAGAGGGCAGTGGACCAAGCCACCTGCAAGCTCCGTGGCCTTACGCAGGGCCCTCCCACCCTCTGAGCCTTCCATTTTCTGCATCAGGGGCTGAGGATAATAACGGTACGGACCCCCAGCTGTCTGGAGAAGGATTAAATGAAAAAGTGTGTCTCTGCAAGTGACAAGCAAAGCTGCTGCCCACGATGATGGCTCAGCAACTCAGTCCCAGGAGTCCCTCCCCAGAGGCGGCATCCTCCCACCTGGACGATCAGGGCCTGGACTTGCAAATAAGAAACGGAAATCTGTTGGAACTTCCTACTCGGGGCCCCGCGGGTAGTGGGCCGATAATAACTACCTGCTGGATTTAACTGACGGCTCCGGCTACTCTCCGTCTGAAAGCTTTGCTAATTGCCATCTCAGACAACATGCTCCAAACCAAACTCTTCATCTTCTCCTTAGACCTGCTCCTCCCACATATTTTCCCGCCTCAGTTGATAGCAAACCCATCTTCCCAGTCCTCCGGCCCCAAACCTTGGAGCCATCCTTGTTTTCTTTCTGTTTCTCGTACTCTTCATGTCCTCCAGCAGCCAATCCTGTCTCTCTCCCTTCAAACATGTCTAGAATATCCGCACTACTTCTCACCTCCTAGGACCCCCCACCTGGTACCTCCACTCTTATTGCAAATGGCCCCAGTACTCTTGCCCCTCCGGGTCTACAGTTAACACAGCAGCCAGAGTGAGCTGGATAAAACACCAGTTGCATAAGTCATGCCTCACTCAAAATCTTCCAAGGGCTCTCTGAAAATAAGTCAGAGTGCTCATCTGGCCTCCCACAAAGCCCTGTAAGGCCCAGCCGCCAACACTGACTCCTCCCGTCCAGCAAACTGTCTGGCATCTTCTCTTCCAGCTTTCCTGAAACCTCACCTCCTCACGCTTGCCACTGCGTTTCACCAGAGGACAGTTCCACGGACTACGTCCCTACTACTCCCCTCCAGAAATACATCTTCCTTCGAAACTCCCTCTTTTCACTGGAGCCATCAAAATATTGAAACAGAATTTTAACTGCAGTGATGACTTCTTGGTCTGAAATAAAATACAAAATGTCACCATCTTGCCTTCTCGGAAACCCCTTCTCTTCTGCCTGCAACTGCGTCACCGTGGATGTTTCTTGAGAATAGTTGCCTGTTCCTAGATTTGAATTGTTTCTCTCTCCCCTTCCAGAATAAAACCACCAGGAGGCTGCGCTGCTGGGGCAGGTGGGGGTGGGCCTTAAGTAACGGTCACTTCAGGACCAGCTAAGGGTTAAATTCACCATCTGAGTCCTGGGGACTCAAAAGCACCCATTCAACAGCACCTCCTTCCAATGCTATTGCAAGGGTAGATCTGACGTTCTTTCTTGCCACCTGAGAAGCCAAAACCTGCGTGGCTGTGAGCTTCCCAGTCTTTCTCCCCATCTCTTTCTCCTCTCCAGGATGGTGATAATTCTCACTCTCACTGCAGCAGAGTCTGTGGCAGCCAGACCCGGACACTCTGATCTTTAAAGACCATTACATAAACAGAACATCCAGGCGCAGAAGAATTGCAGGATGACGAGAGGAGAGGCAGAGAGAAAAAGGAAGATGCGTTACTGACAGCTTAGGATAAGGAGGCTTGAGAAAAGCACCAGGTGGGAGCCTCTCTTTTTAGCCGCCCCCTGGCTGCTCTACTCAGGAGGGACTGGCCTTTAAGGAAATGTTAGAAAGTGGTACAGTAAGACTTACTACCTTCACGCCACCAAGGTAAGTATGAAGGGCAGGGGACGGAGACATTTCCCGGAGAGGAATGAGGCCAGCACACGTACTGATCGAAGGTCCCGTTACAAACTGTGCCTGCAGAGAGAAGAGGGGTAAAATGAACTGATGGAGGCAGAGGCCTCGGGAGCCCAGCGCCTGCCTTCCCGCATCAGAAGCTGGTGCAGCCTGTGCAGGGACCTGTGTGGACGTCCCCCTCTCCAGACAGGTCGAGGATGAGGAGTGGGACAGGGAGGGCTGGAATGCCTAATGCAGCCCTGCACACTGTGGCTTTGCTGCCCAACTTGAGCCCTGGCAGCGGTCCAGGGAGCTAGGCCAACGTGCAGGTCACACTGATTTCAGTTTACTTTACACAAGCTGAACTCTCGCAGAAACGCGGGGTCAGGAGGACAGTGGGAGGCTCAGCCGGTGTCTTCTGTTTCCATAATTAACGAAATCACGGTCAAGCCCTCACCAATTCAATCTCGGAACACCCTTACTGTGAGAGGTGCAAAATGACCAGGGGACGTAAGGGGGCCTGCGGAACTGAGGTTCTTGGTCACGTGTGCCCGACACAAGCGCTGTCTGGTCCTGTTTCTCTGTTTAAAGACTAATCCCATGATCATTATGAAATATTTGGGCAGCTCAAGCTCATGGGATGATTTGCACCCTGGCGCTTGGCAATGAGATGCTACAAATATAAGGTCCAGGCTTGTGGGGCCCCAGAATCAACCGAAGGGGTTTCAGCCTGGGTCCCAAGCTTCCGTATTACAAGCTCCCCACTCTCGGGTACCAAGCTTCGTTTCCCACCATCTGCTGGGGCCACTTGGGGGGAACTGTCAGATTACTGGTATCGAGATGCTGCAAACACAGATTCGTTTGCTTATGCTGGCTTAGGGCACCTGGTGGGCCTGGCGTCCAGGTGTTAGCACCCAGTCCGTGTGCACTCACCTGGCTGAGCCACCCAAAGCGTGGCTCCAGATCAGGAGGCCTGCCCTCCTTTGATCTCAGAAAGCAGTATTCCCCAAAGTGGGAGTGGTTCTTGTAACAGAGCAAGTCCTGATGGCTGCCTGCCTGGCTCAAGAGCTGTTTAGAGGGAGCGGGGCATGGCTTGGAGGCTGGGACTGACTTCAGGTCAGGAAAAGGAGGAGAGAGGCTATAGTGTCCTGTCAACTCTGGGCCCCTGAATGAAATGATCTGAAAGAAGCCAGGAGACCATGGAGGGGGCCACTTTCATCCACAGCCCCCCGTGCTCAGAGGCAGTGGGTCAAGGCTCCTTAATCCTTTATTTTTTTCCTTAAAAAAGAAATGAATCTGGATGCACCCAAAGGGTCAGTATGTGGACAGAAGCAGCTGTGGGCAAACTATTAGCATATTTGCTAGAATGCTCTACACCTAATGTGCATCTGGATAAGAGAAATGTTATAACTCAGAGTCAGCGAGCACGCTGGGAGACTGAGAGACAACCCCACACACAACAGGTTCCTAGGTTACTCTACGATGGTGGCTCATGTCACATGATTAGGTGGTCAGTGTGCTGTGACAGATGGCTTTTATGAAAGATGGCCACAGGCATACATGTCCCATCTCATGTGCTCTTTTACAGTGCAGGTGGGTCGCCTTTGTAACTCTGACCCAATTGAACATGGCAGAAGTGACCTCCAAGGCTAGGTCATTAAAGGAAGCATGACCTCTGGTCATCTCTGCCCTTGCAATGCAGCCTCCCTGCGGTGAGGAAGCCCAGGCCGCGCGGAGAGGCCAGGTGGAAGCGTTCTGGCCGACGATCCCAGCTCGACTCCCAGCATCAGCCAGCAGAGATGGGTGTGAACCAGACGGCCCAGGATTCCAACCCCCAGCCTCTGCGTTTTCCAGCCAAACTCCAGACATTGCAGACCAGAAACCAGCCATCCCCAACGTGCTCTGTCTGAATTCCTGACCCACAGAAACTGGGAGAGATAATAAATCATTACAATTACTGTTTTAAGCCACTAAGCTTTGGGCTATTTGTTACACAGCCATAGGTAATTAATACATGTGCTCACCAGAAGGTTCCTTGAGCAAGTCTCTCAGACACTTCTCTTTGTACTGAGCCCACTTCCGAGTTGTCTCCTCAAGGAGAGATCCTGCAACCTGAGTGGAAAAAAACTATAGTGACTCCCAGGTGGCGGCAAGCACACAGGTGGCCTCATTACCATCTAATACCATGATTCTCAAACCCTCCCGCTGAACTGCCCGCGATGGCCTGCACCATGCAACAATTTCTTTGGCATCTTCTGTACTACCATCAACAGACATACAAATTTTACATTCACGCTGTAATCTAATCATGCTGGGTTTTAATACAAACATGAAAGATTTTTTTCAAAATCTTAAAGTGAGGCTGACATTTCAAGAGGATGCAATACGCCCAGTCTGAAGTTTCACAACCAAACAGATGAATAACTGCATGTTTCTAAGACAATGTGGATCTGTCTCAAAGTGAGGGGCAGCCCACTAAGAGGGCTCAGTAGTGTGTCAGAGAAGGGTCAGAGCAATTGCGGGCCCGACCATCCCACCCAGGCATCTGTGGGTCCAGAGTCGAAAACATTAGGTCAACAGACGCTCTGCTCCTGTACCAAGGATAAGGGATTTTCCTCTTTCCGACATTCACTGTCCCATCCCATAGGACCTTGGATGCACAGCCACACGCTTTTTGGGCTTTCCAGATAACTGGGCTGTCTAACAACTTCTAATCACATAGCTGTACCATGTGTTCTGGTTTTAAAAGGGGGTTTCTCCTAACACTGTAAATCAACTATGCTTCAATAAAAAATTAAATAAAAAAAACCAGAAGAAAAAAATTAAAGGGGCTTTCTCTTCTTCAATTCACTCATGTTAACCGAGCACATGTTGTGCGCAGGCTTTGCATTAGTAAGGAGTTGAAGGGAATACAAAGATGGCAAGACACTGTCTCTGCCCTCAAGGACTTAGCACCTGCTAAGGAGAAGGACATTAGGTAATTGGCTGGCCCAAGAAGTCACATGACCATCCTACCCTGCCCTCCTCTGCTTACAAACAGCCTCTTCCCCAGTGGCTCAGTACTGACACCCCGGTCCTCTGTGTCACAAACCTGAAACCAGGAGTTGTCCTCCACTGCTCCCTCTTCTTCACTCCACATCCACCCATGCACCGGAGTCCATCCTCCTCCATTTCTTTCCTGTCCGTCCCTATCTCCCATTTCCTCCACCTACAGCCTGGTGCCATGTGCCCCCTCTACACTGTTCCAGAGGGATAGGCCCATGGGGTAGACCCGTGCACAGGGCACTCCTGCTTAAAGTCTTCTCCTGGGGACCTGCTGATTCAAGATTTAATTTCTCAGCCATCCCCATCCCAAGTCTCTCAACCCCAGTCACGACTTGGGATCCTCATACTTCCAATTGGTCCCTCCCTCCCACACTCGTTTCCCGGTTCATCTCTCAAGGCTCAACTCAAGCCAATGACTGCTGGTCCCACTTAAGTTGGACCTTGAGCTGGTAACCCTTCTCAGTGTCTCGTGACCTCATCACCCTGTACTGTCAAGGGTGGGTCACTCATTCACCTCCCTAACCACCTAAATATGTTCCCTGAGGGCTGAGAGAGCCTCACGTCTCTGAACACCAGCCCCCAGCACAGGGGCTACTGTCCTCTTTCTCTCTCATTTGCCAGCCAAAGAAACAGGCGCAGAGGTGGAGCGGCGGAGGGAGGGGATGAACATGGAGAGGTTGAATATGTGATCAGGGCAAAGATCGTCCATCTCATCAACTTGCTTTCAAGTCTTGTCTCCCCTCACTAGAGGTGAAAAACTCAAAATGCTTTTCTGGGCCAGGTGGATAACCTGAAAGAAGGAGGTAGGACAGGTGTAACTACAGGGAGTGGGGGAGCCTACTGTAAACTGGGGAAATGTCCCACTGAAAGGCATCCAAACAGAGAAAGAGAGAGCGAACAAAACAAAAATATCTATGAACTTTTTTACAAAACAGAAACAGGGTCAGACACAGAAAACAAACTTATGGTTATCAAAGGGGAGAGGAGGGAGGGATGAATTAGGAGTCTGGGATTAATAGATACAAACTACTCCATGAATGACTGAAAAATTGTGCTGAACACTGGAATTTGACACAACATTGTAAAATGATTATAAATCAATAAATCTAATGGAATACCTAAAAAAATAGATACAAACTACTATATATAAAATAGATAAACAACAGGTCCTACTGTATACACAGGGAACTATATTCAGCTTCTTGTAATAACCTATAATGAAAGACATATGGAAAAAAATATGTATAACTGAATCACTGTGCCGTACACCAGAAACTAACACGACATCGTAAGTCAACTTTACTTCAATTAAAAAAGAAAGAAAGAAGACGCATTTAAAAAAAAATCCATGAGCCCAACAGGTAGGCAGTTTTCACCTCCTGAGTAATTATCCAGTCTCCCCACTTCTGTGCCCAGTATGCCCCACTCCCCAGCCCCAGGGCACTCGTGATGGGGTCAGTGAGCACTGCCTTTGCATTTGTCCCAGGAATCACACAGCCAACCTTCTGAACAAGAGCTGGTAGACTAGAGGTTCCCAAACTTTCTCCATCAACGCTGCCTTTCATATTTCAGTAATTTTTCCACGCACCCCTAGCCAAAAGAAATATCTCAAGCTCCGCTAATTCAGTAGGTAGATCTGAACAGCGGAACAAGTGCTTATATCCCAGCAACTTAGCGCCTACTGGGGACTGAAAAACGTCCCAAACCTAAGAATTGGATTGGACAGCCCCATGCAGGTTCCTGTTCTGCCCTGATTTTCTGCAGTGCTTGCTTTTTTAATCACAGCAACTGCAGAAAACCGAGCTTTGCAAAGATAACATCATCAAAAGTAATGCAGTATGATATAACGCTGGCCCCACAAACTACCTCAAGCTAGTAATTCTCACAGTGTAAACTGTCACATTTCACTGCTACCCTCAAAACAGGTTCCTTGTGGGTGTCCTGGGGCACCTTAGCACACAATTTGGGAAACATGGCATTTGTCAATCAATAGCAATCACGATGATGATGATGGTGAATTAATGGGCATTTATCCCTTGGTTTCAGTCTCCAGTGAGTGTTAAGTCTCCATTAATCATCTCTCTCTCCCGGGTACGGCCCCAGAGGCACAATGGGACATTAGCAACATACTGCTTAAAGAAACCCACATCCTAAAGAGACCGTGACCGACTCTATATTATTTTTACAAATTCAGCTGAGAAGTTAATAACCAAATCATAAGTTTCCAGAATCCCTTAGGTCACCGAGGTAAGACCCTTCCTTGGATAAAGTGCTGTTTGTATCTTCGGGGACTTCACTAGGACCTAGCAGAGGAAGAGACAATAAAATCAATCAGATATGTGAGCTCTCCCTGGACTAACGTTCCCCCACTCCCCGTCCCTTGCCATGACTAACGGCTGTGATCAGGAGCAGGAAAAAAAGAGGGAAAAAAAAAACTTAAGAAACACTGGATCTGGCCAATCTAAGGGAGTTGGACAAACTGAGACTACCTTCCCAGGTACTTGTCCTAACGACATCAAAAACGCAAGAGGCAAATCCAAGTTCAAGCACAGCCAAATTCAACAAAGTAATGATAAAAGGTGATACATGAGTGGCTGTTTTCTTACTGGAAAAGTCCAGCCTGGTCTTGGTTCCTCTTCCCATGCACGGACAATCAGCATCAACAACTAACTTGGCTGAGACAGGATTAAGGAAAAGGGGAAAAAAATCTCTGTTGACTTGCTTTTAAACAAAATGTCTATTTTTCTTCATTATGGAAGGAATACACTTCACTGTAAATAAAATAAAAATTACAGACCAGCAAAAGGGTAGCAGATGGAATCAGAATCTTTTTACTCAGAAATAACCATCTCCTTCCAGACTCTTCAGTGTGTGCACATACATTCTTTTTCTTTCTTCTTTTTCCTTCCTTTTTAATTTTACCCCAAAGGGAAGTCATATTGCTGTACAGTCCCTTTTTCGCTAGAAGATGTATTATGAATCTATTTCCATGCCAAGAACTACACTTCTACAACACCATTTTAAGAGCTACGTGATTTTCTACGGATGAATGTGATATAATTTATGTTTTAAATCCTCCCGCACTGAACATCTATGTTGTTTTTAGATGTTTGCTAATATAAATGATGCTGTAATGAAAGTATTCATAAACACTTGAGCTCATCTTTGTTTTCTTAGGAGGAAGTGGAATTGCTGGGTCATAGACTATACGTTCTTAAAAGGTTTTGATAGTGTACTGCCAAACTATCTCTGCCAGAAATTTTTTTTAATGTAAAAAGATGCACCTTTATACACTTTCACCAGCAATGTATGAAAGAGCCACACGTTCACTTCTCCAAGAGCCTTAGAGAGTTTATGTTTTTTTGATGCCAAAGCAACTGCTAATTAACTTAAATGAGTTGGGGGCGGAGTGAGGGGATAGTACTACTTCCCAGCTTGAATTTAGAAACGAAAAACTAAACTAGCCCTGAGAATTTCTCATGAAGTGAATTTTATGAAGACTTCCTGCCAAAAGCCACGCCACGGTCATTTATATCCACGCAGGAACAGCGTCTGTGAGCGCGACACATCACAAAAGTCTGCGCAAAGCCTCCTGACGTAAACGTCTGGAGAAAGAACACGAGGCTTAAGACGGCCGGCCCAGAGCAGGGCCACCAGGACCATCCACACACACCGCGCCACAGACGGCGCGGAGAGGTTCTGAAAACAGACTGGTGGCCGAGGCGGGGAGGGGAGTTCTTAAGAGGCACATTATTAATTATGAAAACCCTGAGGAGTGGCTTTGTCAGAGACCTCAGCCGGCCTGAGGCACTGCAGATTCTGCTGCTGTGACACAGAAATATTCGTATGTCAACAGCTTCCAAGGAATGCTAGGGAAGAAAGAACACAGGACTTCAAATGCCCTGGGAGCAGGCGCAATGGCTCCCTGCTCACAAGTGAAAGATCGCAGGCGATCGTGTAACTCCCATGAATCTTAATTTCCCCGTCTGTAAAGTGGGTTCAGAAACAATCATTTTTCTCAGAGACTCATTGGAGGGTTTAGGGAAGATGAAAAATAACAAAATGCCAAGATGATAAATGAGGAAATGCCAAGTGCTGCAGCAGAGCTTGGCTCTTAATAGACAGTCGACCCATGGTTGTAAATAGAAGGTGAACACCACCAACTCGCTGAATATACTCCGTGTGAATATGCAATAGTGTATTGAAGCAAATTCTGTATCAACTCTCCCAACAACAGCCCCACCACTAACTAATTAAGTCCGAGAACAGGAGGCCGGCCAGGCCACCTGGCCCTCAGGAATGTTCTGGTCGCTCACCACGAGGCTACCAGGAAACCACGCACTGGGCTCCTGTCTATAATCTATGAGGGTTTGGAGCCAGCCTCTGGGAGCATTTGAATACGGAGAATTTGGTAGGGGTTTTCTGTCTGTCCAGTTCTGGGCCAGCCCCAAGGAAAGTCTGGTAAGTCAAACACGTGACAGATCTGGAACCCCGGCCCTCCCTCCACGCGAGCAGGAAGGATCAGAATTCTGAGGCTGCAAACAGAGACAAATTCTGCCCACGGACCGAAGGAAGAGAAGCATTTCTCAAGACTCTTCTTTCCTCAGATGTGTGGAACTGAAGTTCCTTCACATCGTGGCCCAGTATAAAAATGGAACCCTGAAAAGGGAAGGGGCAAAGGTCTCACCTCTTTGGATGAAAATAAAACAAGCTAACAGAAGCCCCACTAAAGAGGATAGTTACATACGTTATGATGCATCCCCGAGGCCCTTAAACATCACACCGCACCGCTACGTTTACTGACGCAGATAAACGTTCAACTCCCTGAGACTCAGTTTGCTCATTTGTAAAATGGGATTAACAGGAGACCCTCTCTCACGGGGTTGCTGAGAGCGTAAAATGAGATCATACGGGGGCACCGGACCTGGCGCATAGTGAGCATTCAAGAAAAATGTCAGCTTGTGTTATTAGTGTATTTTGTTAAGAAAAAAGCAGATTACAAGATAATATTTATAGTATGAGCCTTATGTTTGTTTAAAAAAAAGCTATATGTAAATATATGGTAGAAAAATGTCTGGAAGAATAAGCCAAAAAACGTGAATGAGGGTGAGCTCTGGGTGATGGGATTATAGTGATTTATAGTTTGTATTGATAGTTCTTTGGCTTTTATAAACGTATATTTTTAAACAATGAGCATTCTGGATTTTTATAATAGGAAGGAAAGAAGTAAGGAAGGAAGGGGAAAAAAAAGACCCTCCCATTCAATCTAAATTCTCAAAGAATGATGAAAACAGATAGGAGGAAACATGCAGGAATTGTAAAGGCTATATGCAGCGTTCACTCTTACAAGGGAAAATACTTATAATATGATATAAAGGGGAGACCGAGATATAAAATGTTTTCTGCATCCTAACTCCAGCTGTGTAAAAAAAAAAAAAGCATAGAAAAAGGATTTGAGGAAAATATACCAAAATATTAACAGTGATTACTATCTCTGAATGCTTGGATTATGGTTGAATATTATTGTTTAAATATGTTTTATATTTTCCAAATTGCCTACCAGAGGCCTCAGGGGCTTCTATAATTGGAAAATACGTACAACTGATCCTAAGTGTAATGATAATAATAAAAGCGGCTCTTACTTGCTTGATGGAGACCAGGAGCAGCAGGGCCATGAGGGGCCTCACAGGGGTCCAGAGAGTGCGTCTCCCGGGGGAGGGCAGCGGCCGGGTGGCAGGGATGCCGCTGGGCAGCGCGTGGGCTCTGGGCAGGGGCCCCTGTCTCCTCCTCCCGGGCCCTGCCCTGCTCGGTGGCGGCCTCATCGTCCTCGCTGTGTGGTCACCAGTGCCGACACATGGCTCTGACCGTCCGAGATGTGCCGCAGGCGGCCTCCTCCTGCGATCCTCTTCGCACGGCAAGGAAATGTCTGCACGAACCCTCTCCACGCCGCGCCGAGAGCAGCTGCCCCGGTCGAGAGCCATCTACCGAATCTCCAAAGTTTCTCATCAGCCGCGGCTCATCCCCCGCCCCGGCCCCCCCAAAGGCAGGGAGATTTTTCCCAGACCTCCCCCAAGTCAGCTGTGCTCCTGGGACTTCTGGGCAGAAGCCACCAAGGAGAAAAGGCAAAGCGGTCAGTGGGTCCCACCCCCCTTCCAAGGTCAGGCTCTCTGCACAAGACGGGGATGCGACAGGCTTGGGACCAGCTGGTGGGGAGGATGGGCCCCCAGCCAGGTCTGAGGTGAGGGGGCACATCTCTGACTAAGCTTCAAGCTTGTCCAGCCACAAAGGCAGGGCCTCCTCTGGGCCGTGTTTATGCCAAGGCTTCCAGAGAGACAGTCAGCCAGCCCAGGAGACAGCAGCTCCTGACCCAGGGCTTGAAGCAAAATTCCTCTCAGCAACTCAAGTCCTGTCTGCACAGCAGCAACACAGCATGCTGAAAAGTCCGAAATGAGTATGTCCCTGGATGCCCCACTGTTGTGAGCAAAGTTCCCTCAGCCCACCTGGCGGTCCTTTTACAGATCCCATGGCCTGTTATCACTAGCTCACATATTTGTACTTTCTCATCACGACTCACACTGACCAAATCTTTTCACCCAGCGTCCTGTGTTGTTCATCCTCCCGATAACCCTGTAGGGGCTGATTATTTCCCCAGTTGACAGCTGAGACACGGGTTCAGAGAGGTTAGGTGGCTTGCCCTAGGCCACACAGCAGGTGAATGGCAGAGCCAGGATTCCTGGGTCTTCTGACCAGTCCCCTGACCACAGCTACTTGGGACAGTGTCATATCTGACTCTGACTCTCTAAGTAAGTTCCTTGTCTCTAGCAGGCTCAGCACCATGTCTCTGAAAGGCTCTGCTTGGCCCTTCTCACCAGCCTCTTCCTCTTCAGCTCCCAGCATCCCTTTCCAAGTCTTCCCAGCCTTCCCAACTGGTGGTCCAAGCAGAAGACATCCTGATTGGATGAAACACAGGTCAGCAAGAGATCAGAAGACAGTGTTTCCATTCAGGTTTTTTTTTTCTGCCATAAGTTGAACTGAAGGAGCTCATCTCGGTTAACTTACCTAAGTGAGTGAATTTTGAACAGTTGGGAAAAACAGGTGAGCATCACTTAATAGATATCCTTGGAAATCTTAAAAACCCCACACAGCAAGATTTTCAACCTTAGCAGTAAAACACTCATGATGAATAAAGACCCCCAAAATGGACTCATATAAGGATGTGACCTGGAATCAATGCGGTCATCTCTTTGGGACAGCAGAGAGCAGGATGACGTGACAGGGGAAAAACGCTGCTGGTGTGATGCCTCTGACCCTTGATGTGGCTGTAAAGCTAGCTATTCAGCAACTGCACGTTACAGACTATGTTCCAAGTTGTCTGCTTGGTAAGAATATTTTATATAACCTCTCTAAACTTTTTCTCAAAAACATCTTTTTTCCGGAAGAGACGGGTTGAGGGGCTACACACGACTTGTCCACCCGTTGGGTGGATGCCACCTAGTGATAAAACAAGGTAACTCCTCTTCCTGCAAGACTGGCCGGCAACCAGGACAGACACGGCTCATAGGCTGCAGACAGCACGTCGTAACACAGTCCCTAGTCTTTGCCATCAGGAGAATACAGACAGAGTGATACTGACCAAATGACACTGGCTTTTTCTCCTACCTGCCCAGGCTGGCAAAATCGGAGGGGGTCCGAGGGCTCCTCAAGATGTGTAACGGGGGCCCATCTGTGTGCCCACATGCCACGTGGAATCCTCCGCTACCCTCCTCCGGCCCTCACGGCGTCATCAGTGTCCAAAGATGAAGAGGGACTCGCTGGCTGCAGCCCCTGCCTTACCACTCGGGGTGTACTTTCCTTGGCAGGCGAGGCTGTTGGCCAGGGCCCGCTTGACGTATTCTTCCTGAGCAGGCTTCAGGTTCTCCTTCTTTCCCCCCCAGGTCTTCAGGGCAGAGGCCTGCAGGGCTCGGCCATAGGAGAAGGTCAGAGCCCACGGCTTCAGCAGGGGGCACTTGTTGATGGCGTTGAGGTTGATGGATGCCTCCTCCTCACTCTGGCCTCCAGATAAGAAGGTGATCCCAGGGACAGCGGGCGGCACTGTGCGGCGCAGTACCGTGACAGTTGCCATGGCAATCTCCTCATGAGAATATTTGTGGGTGCAGGCGTGGCCTAGGGTTACCATATTGGGCTTCAGCAAGGTGCCTTCCAGGTAGATGTGGTGGTCACTCAGAGCCTTGTAGACAGTAGCCAGCACCTTCTCAGTTACATACTGACAGCATTTCAAATCATGGTCCCCATCAGGGAGGATCTCGGGCTCCACGATGGGCACAATGCCATTCTGTTGGCAGATGCTGGCATAACGGGCCAGGACATTGGCGTTTTCCATGATGGCGAGGGAGGAGGGGGTGTGCTCCCCGATCTTCAGCACACAGCGCCACTTGGCAAAGTCAGCTCCGTCCTTCTTGTACTGGGCACAGCGCTCAGACAGCCTATCCAGCCCTTGGGTGGTCAACTCGCCATTTGTTCCTGCCAGGGGTACCACACCCTTGTCTACCTTGATGCCCACAACACCACCCTTGGCTTTGATAACTTGGGGGAAGGGACGCCCATCATCTGCCTTCTGGTAGAGTGTCTCATGGAAGAGGATGACGCCACCAATGCAGGGGTTCACGCGGTCGTCAGCTGTCAGCAGCAGCTGGCGGTAGAAGCACCGGTTCTCCTCGGTGTTCTCAGTGCCGATGGACTGCAGTCGCTTGGCAATGCACCCGGTGGGCTCATCTGCAGCCAGGATGCCCTTGCCCAGAGCCACGATGCGGTGAGCAATGTCAGAGAGCTCCTTCTTCTGCTCCGGGGTCAGTGCTGGGTATTGGTAGGGCATGGTGCCTGTCGGTTCCTTTCCTAACTCTGTTGCTGGGTGTTGCCCAGCTGAGGGTGGGGCTGTATACTGGCATCTGGGGTAAAGGAATAGGCCAAAGCCATGGACAGGCAGGTCATGTGGAAGCTGGACCCTTCTGGCTTGCGCTCTGCCATGGGGTCACCTTGCCTGGCACAAGAGAGGGGTGGGTTGGCGGGGTGCAGCGGTGGAGGACCGCGGGTTGGCGAGTGGACTGAGGGAGCGGACGCGGCAGTCGTCACCAGGACTCTGGTTCTGCGGCGCGTTCCAAGCGGAACGCAGCCTATTCAGCTCCCGAGAGGGGGGCGCAGGGGGCTCATTTATTTTTATTATTCTATTATTTAACTGTTTTATTTTGGCATGGGGGGAAGGTAATTAGGTTTATTTATTTTTAGAGGAGGTACTGGGAATTGAACCCAGGACCTTGTGCATGCTAAGCATGCACTCTACCACTGAGCTATACCCTCCCCCTTGTAATCCATCTTGTGGTTTTAAAACATGTGTAAAAGACTAGAGCTCTGGCAAGAAAAAAAGACATGATTGTGAAAACTTCCATCCTAATACCAAAATGAACAAAGAGAAACAATATTAGAGAAGAAATGACATCAGTGTGAAACTATGAAAGGCCCCAGCTTCATAGCACCAACACTGAAAAACCCATAGTATAATTTAGATTAAATTGAAGGGCGATACTGCGGGACCCACACACAGCTTTCCAGCTCTGGAGCACAGTGCGAGGCGGGGATGATGGCAAATACGATTCTGAAGGGTCTGGTCCTGGCTGTTTGGTTGAGGGACAGTTTACTGGATTCTGTGAGGAGGATGAGGTTCTTCTGTTTGCTCCTGAATTGTTTGGTTAGCTCCAGAATAGACTTGGTAAGTATTTCATAGTAACAAATGTTTAGATATTATAGTCAGCCCTCCATATCCGTGGGTTCTGCATCTGCGATTTCAACCAACTGCAGATGGAAAATATTGGGGGATAAAGTCCAGAAAGTTTCAAAAAGTAAAACTTGAATTTGCTGCGTACTGGCAACTATTTACATAGTGTTTGCATTGTATTTACAACTATTTACGGAGCATTTACATTGTATGAGGTATTGTATGTAATTTAGAGACGATTTAAGAGTCCTGCAGGATGTGCTAGGTTATATGCAAACACTTCATTATTTCATATATAGGAGTTGAGCATCTGCGGATGTTGGTATCTGCAGGGGCGTCCTGGAACCAACCCCCTACCTCAGGTATCAAGGGACCACTGTATTTCCTTCCACCTAAAAATAACTTTCTAGCCCCCTGGGGAGGGGGGGAGGGAGGGAAAGAAAGATAAAAACGTGCGACTGGCAGGTGTGCGGTTTCCCCTGTTCCAACTCTGGCCAGGACGACTTGTCATCAGTCCCGCTCAGGAACCCTCTCTGCAAAAGAAACACAAAGCAAATTCGTGCAGCAGTCGCTAGCTCAGGGACGTTTCAAGCCCTATTTCTTTACCCACCTATGGAAATGTTCCCTTTTCTATTTTTTAACCTCAAATGCCTAGAATTATTTTACCAAACTCTGTGATTGACAGCATACTACCATCATTGGTGGGAGATAGTTTGATACCATTTTTAAAAGCTGGTAAAATGAACACCCAGTCTTACCTCATTATCTTTTGGATTCCAACCTGCCACCCTCAAGTCGACATGCCCTACATTTTTCTTGACATGAAGGGAAACCTGGAGAATATTTCCCAGCTCTCCAGAACAAAATCAGAAAAGGGCACAGTGCTGACTTAACTACTTCGTGAGCTAGCTATAATAAGACACCTTTGACTTTTAAAAAACATATATCGTACCCACAATAAAAGTCTTTCTTCACCAAAGACCACTGAGGGGGCTGGGGAGGAGGAAACTCAATCAAGCAACCCCCTACTGTTTTCTTGATAATCATCTTGGGAATGGTCTGAGAGGGAAAAAACAAAAATGAAACATTTGGGAGCTCCGTAAAAGCCCACGTGCAGAGCAGGTGGGTATAGCCTTTTAAGCTCTGGCCTGACTCGATACAGACAGGATGTGGTATGGAATTTTGTCTCCTGAGATCTCCGCAGCTACTGTGGTTGGGAGTGGGTGGTTCTGGTGGTGGAATACGTTAGGGTGAAGGCTAGGCTGCTATAACAAAGAAATCCAATGGTACAGTGGCTTTGGGGAAAGGTTTATTTCTCTGGTGGTGGTCCAGAGCAGTGGGGTGGACCTGCTGCTCTACATGGCCACCTAGGTCTCAGGAGCCCTCCCTCTTGTTGCTCTGCTGTCCCTAGGTCACTGTTGTTATGTATGTAGTTGAAGCAAGATCATTGCCGTTTAGGGCTCTCAGCTGGCAAGAAGGGGGAAAAAGCCATGTTCAACGTCTTAAGACCGTGCTTGGAAAAGCCACACAATAATTTTGCTTATGTTCCGTTGGTGAGACTTTGGTCACATGACCATGTTTGACTGCAAGAGAAACGAAGCCCACCTGGCTGCTATGTATGCGTCTGTTACTCCATTACTGCGTAAGAACTAAGGACGAAGGAGAACCACCTGCAGGCTGCTCTACCGAGAGTGGGACCTCGCTTAGAGAAATTGAAAACTAATTGCTGAGAGAACCCAGGATTACCAGTATTGACTAACTGTGTAGATGATGAAAAAAAACTCGCTGGACATATAAAATTTGTCCAAGCTGCACAACCAAACTAAATAGCCCCTACAAAACAGCATCAATGAAGCAATAAAGGAGAGAACTTAAATTTTAACTGTTGCTCTTTTTGAGAAAGGAAAGATGCTATGAAAAAAAAGTTAAGAGAATAAGAGATTTGGGTTAAGGAAAAAAATACTAAAAAGCAGAAGGGACTCTACTGGAAACAATTTATATTAATTAGAAGAAAAATGAGGAAATCTCCAAGTTTACAAAAGAGAGAAAATTTGTAAATTATGAGAGCAAAGATAAAAGAAGCAAATTGTAGACCCAGGAGACCAAATATCTAGAAGGAGAGAATATGGTAACGGAGAAGTGATGGCAGGTAACAGAAAGTTCTGATCTGAGTGTGCTTGATTAGGTAAGTCAAAGAGCTCTCCTAAAATACAGCTGGATCCCGTTGTTATGACAGACACTTTTTAATGCATTTCTGGGTTTGCTGGTAAGTAAGGGAAATATGACCCTGTATTTCTAACAATAGGGCATCTAGATAATTGACTGGCCATGCTGCTGAAATAACTAAAAATAACATGTTAGATTTAAAAATATTTTTAATAGGGATATATTTGGCCTACAACATTGTGTCACAAAGTTTAAGGTGCACAACATATTGATTTGGTACATTTATATTGCAATGTGATTGTCATAGTGTTAGCCAGCACCTCTATGGTGTCACATAATTATAACTTCTTCCAGTGTTAGAATCAATTAAGATCTAACCTTTTAACAAGTTTCATGTTTATAATACAGTTGTATTGTATATAATCATTGTACTGTGTATTAGTCTCCACGGACTTACTTATCTACTAGATTGCAAGTTTGTACCTTAGCATCTCTCTCATTCCTCCACCTGTGGCCCCTTGGTCAACACCAATTTACTCTCTGCTTTTCGATTTCCCATGTCATACAGTATTTGTCTTTCTCTGTCTGACCTATCTCACTTCGCATAATGTCC